CTCTTCTGCCGCACCCAGGGCCGCTGTGTGTGCAGCGTGTGCACCGTGCGCGAGTGCGGCCCCCACGAGCTGGCGCTGTTGGACGCGGAGCGCCGTGAGCGCGAGGTGACGCTGCCAGGCGGGGGCTGCTGGCCGGGGCGCCTCTCCCAGGCGCACGCAGCGCGGTGTCGTGGGCAGGGGCGGGAGCTTCCCGGGGCAGGAACCCAGGCTTCGTGATGAGGCTCGAGGGTCTGTCCATCTGACCGGGGTAACCAGCCCGCCAGGGTCCAGGGTCTCAGGAGCTGCCCGGGACTCCCGGGCGGATCCAAAGCCGAGGTGTTGGGCAGTGCTGGCGCCCGAACGCAGCAGGTGCCCCTGAGCGTCCGCTCATCGGTGAATGTGCGCGGGGCACACGCAGTACGGGCGGGGAGCGCACAGAGCGCACATGGGTGAAGAAGTCAACTTGATTTGTGTGCTGAGAGACTTAGCGATCGACATAAGGGGTCCACGTTCCAGGAAAACCCAAATATATTACAACATGAAGTAAATAGAGCACGTGGCACTTAATAGAGACAACAGGGTGACCCTGCTTGGGGGAGGGGTGAGAGAGAAGGATCTGAGGAAGTGGCCAAGTGGCAGCATAGGGCACTCGGATGGGAAGGGAAGGAGCGGCCAGGGGGGCAGACGGGTGAGGGTCCCGAGCAGGGCCCTTCAGTCAGCGGGGGCCGGAACCAGGAAGAGCCCGTGGATGTGTGAGGAGCTGGCTCTTCCTCCTGGGAGTCCCGGGGGTCCCCTGCAGGCTTGGGCAGGCTAGTAAGCAAGCACACTCCTGTTTGGGGTGAGGAAGAGGCAGAAGTCAACCTCTCTGCCGCCATCTCCTCGCGGTAGTGAAGGTAGTCGTGGCCCCTACCTCATGGTGTTGCGGGGAGGAGAAGCAAGTAGTGAGGCTCTTAATTAGGTGGAGGCGACCAAGTCGTAAGGGTGACCGGGGGGCAGGGGTGTCCTCTCATGAGGACATCAGCAAGGTCTGTCCTCTCACAAGGGCACAATGTTTGGATCCTCAAGAGATTTGGGGCACAGCCAGACACAGCCCCCAGCTTCCCCTTGGCCCTCTTGTCAAGCTCCGGGTCAGCCCTCCATCGCTGCAGGGTGGCCTGAGCCAGCATTATGCCTCCTGCTTGTTGACTGGGGAGCTGGAGGAGAGGTTATGGCCCAGCTTGCTCAGCCTACAGAACGCAGAAACAGGGCTGGAAGTTGGATCTTTAGCTCTCTGGGTCTCCTACCCAGTTCTAGCTTTATGCTGAGGCTGGTGGCCCAGTGTTGATGGTGGTTTGAGGGGACTTCGGAATCAATCCTGCCCTCCTTTGTTGCTCGACCCCTGGGCGGGCACTACAGGCCCAGCTGAGAGCCAAGCTGGAGGTCACCCAGCAGCAGACCACTCGAGCCAACAGCCAGCTCCAAGAGCTGCAGCAGCAAAGAAGCCAGATCCAGGTACAGGGCCTGTCGGTCACCCCACCACACCTCACTGCATCCTGAGGGCAGCCACCCACTGGTCCTTGGGACACAGGATGTAGGTGTGAGCTACTGCTTTGAAAATGCCCCCAGGCAGCAGAAAGTGAGGGCCCCAACAGGAAGCCCAGCCCCAGAGGGAAGAGGTTCCAGAGACCTTGGCTCCCCACATCCCACCCCTTAGCCCAGTAGGTAGCCCTGGCCTGCCTTGGTGTGGGGCAGGGCCTGGCCACCCTGAGGCTCCTCCTGTGCCACGCAGAACTCAGCCTGCACCCTGTGCTCCGTGGTCTCAGGCAAGTTCAGCCGCCTGCTGCAGGCCCTGGAGCTGCGTCGGATCTCAGCGCTCAGGGACATCGAGGCAGCCAAGACACAAGTGCTGGCACCAGCCCTGGATGAGGAGCAGCGGCTGCAGGGCCACCTGGAGGCTCTGGCTCAGTATGGCCAGAGGGTCCAGGAGCTCCTGGAGCAGGAGGATGACCAGACCTTCCTCCAGGTACCAGGCCTTGGGGTGGTGGGCTGGGGCCTTGCTTCCTACCCCTGTGCCCCAGCTTACTGCCTCTGTCCCTGGGGCTCAGGAACTGCAGCAGCTCTCTGAGCCCCCAGAACCCTTTGGGCCACTGACCACCCTGCAGTGGGATGAAGACCAACAGCTGGGCAACCTGAAGGAGTTGCTGAACCTGCTGTGCGGCCTCCTCCTGGAAGAGGGGACCCCTCCCGAGGTGCCAGCCAAGACTGCTGACTTGGACCCCGTGGGTGAGGCTGACCTCAAGCCTTTCCTTACCCTTTGGGCCTGGCTGCCCCTCCACTAGGGCAAAGGGAGGGGTGGGACTCACCCCTGCTCCCCTCCCCATCTACTCCCCTAACCCTGTCTTGTCGCCTAGAGGCCCCAGATCCCCTGGTGCAAGTCCCGAGCGTGGTGTGTCCACTGAGGAAGGAACTCTGGCAGAGTAAGAAGCCCCGTGCCTGTGTGTACCTGTGTGTGTGAGTATGTGTGTACATCTGCTCGTGTGTACACACGTATGCTGGGGGGGCATGCTGTGTCTGTCCTGTCTGTCCATGGCCCTTCCTCTGCACACCAGAAGCAGGACGTACTGTTCCATGTCTGTCCCAAAGCAGATGCAGCCAGCATAGTGTTAAGCTACAGGTTCAAAAGCTGGGCATGGTAGCACATAGCTGTCATCTCAGCACTCTGAGAGGCTGAAACAGGAGGATCGAAAAATTGAGTTCAGCCTGGGCAGCTTACCACCTTAGTGAGACCCTGTCTTAAAATAGGAAAGGACTGGTAGTCTAGCTCAGTGCAAAGACCTTGGGTTCAATCTGCAAAAGGAGAAAAGAAAAGACCTGAGAGCCATCAATATTCTTCCACTAAGTACCAAGTTAGTTTATCTCTCTGGGCCTCGGTTTTCTCCTCTATCAAATGAAGATGCCAGGGCTGGGGATTTAGCCCAGGCACAGCGCCTGCCTGGCAAGCGCAAGGTCGTGAGTTCGATTCCCAGTACCGGAAAAAAGCCAAAAAAAAAAGGACTTCAAATGAAGATGCCACCCCAGAGTCACAGTGAGGCGTGAACTTGGTGATGATGTCTAGCGCTCCCCTGCAGTGTGCCCAGGCCACCCTTTGTGGTCGGTCAGTGGAGCTGTCGTTGCCGTCTCCCTTCTGTGGGCAGGATGGCACCTTTGCCTACTTCCGCCTGTCTCTCCCCAATAGATTATCGAAATCTCACCTTTGATCCAGACAGTGCCAACCACCACTTCAACCTATCCTGCCAGGACCGCCGGGTGACACACTGTCGGCAGTCTCAAGGCCCGGCCCGGCCGGGCAGCTTCAAGCTCTGGCAGGTGCAGTGTGCCCAGAGCTTCCAGGCGGGGCACCACTACTGGGAGGTACGCGCCTCTGACCACTCAGTGACTCTGGGAGTCGCCTACCCGGAACTGACTCGGCAGAAGCTGGGAACCAACACAGACAACATCGGCCAGGAGTCCTGTTCCTGGGGCCTCTGCATCCAAGAGGACAGTGTCCTGGCCCGGCACAATGGCGATGCTCAGCGCCTCCCCCGGGTGTCTGCACGGCTCCTGGGCGTGGATTTGGACCTGGCTCGTGGCTGCCTCACCTTCTACAGCCTGGAGCCGCAGGTCCGGCTCCTGCACACCTTCCACGCCCTCTTCAGCCGGCCCCTCTGCCCCGTCTTCTGGCTCCTGGAGGGAAGGACCCTCACCCTGTGCCATCGGCCTGGGGCCCAGCTCCCTCCAGCACCACAGGAAGAGGCCTCAGTGCTCAACTGAGGAAGCCATGGGACAGTACTCTGGGCTGGGGACAGGTGCCATTGGGCCTGTGTGCCCAAGAGCTGCCCAGCCCCTGGCCTGAGGCTATAGTGATTCCGAGAGAAATATTCTAATGATGGTCAAAGGGATCACAGTTCTCAAAGGAGTGACTATTGGCCTCTGGTTTTTGTTTTGTTTTGTTTTCTTTGTACCGGGGATTGAACCCAGGGCCTTTGCACTGACCTACATCCCCAGCCTTTTTTTTTTTTTTTTTTTTTTTTTGACAGAGTCTTGCTAAACGCCTAAATTGCTCAGGAAAACTTACAATCCTCCTACCTCAGCCTTCTAGGGCGCTGGGATTACAGGTGCGTGCTACCACTCTCAGCTGGCCTCTCTCTGTTTCTGTTTTTATACTTTAAGTACATGCAGTTTATCTTCCATCAAATGTATCTCAATAAAACTGTAGAAAAATGAAGTGAACTAAAATAAGTGGGAAGAAGAAGTGACTTGCATTCTCTCCGGCTCCTACAGACAACCTGAAGGACTTGCATTCTCTCCGGCTCCTACAGACAACCTGAAGGACACCGTCTGTTTGGAAACAGGGTGTAGCCGTGAGGGGCATGTCCCAGGAGGCTCAGCCTGGGTAGACCTCAGAGGCGTCTCAGGCAGGGACTCAGGCAGACATTCTGTCCTTGAATGTGGGGTCAGGGCTGGCAAGGCCTGGAACCACAGCTCATGCATCCCCAGGTGGAGCGTCTTGTCAGTAGGTGGCCCTGCTGGTGTGTGCTGACCTCTGTTGACTCAGAGAGGGAACGGGGAGCCTGCATACCAAGTTCACCTTTCCAGACCCTTGGGAGGGGACAGCGAGTGGAAGAGGGCCCAGATCTCACACAGCCTGGGCTGCTGTGTGTGACAGAGTAACACAGACCGGCCTTCCTTTACCTCCCCACGCAGACTGTGACGCACGAATGATTCCAGAAGTACCCTAATGACAAATATTTACCCAGCTGGGTGTGGTGGAACAGACATGTAATCCTGGCAGT